CTGCTTGCTGCCTCCTGTCCCTCGCCGTTGCTGCCCCCCCCCTCAAGCCCCCCTGCTGTGGCCGTGGGGGCCCCAAAAAGAAGGGTCTCGAGGGCCCGAAGCTGCTGCTGGGCCTCTTCATCCTGCTGCGGGGGCCCCTTGGGGGCCCCCTTGTGGGGCCTCTTGGGGGGCCCCTTAGGGGGCCCCTGGGGGGGGCCCCCAGCCTCCAGAGCCTCAGGGGGGGGCCGTCGCTCCTTCCTGCGAGCCCGGGAGCGGGGGGGCCCCTCGGGGGCCTCGGAGGGGGGCCCCCCGACTTTGCGTTTTCGCGGCCGCTGGGTCTTCGTCTTTTCCCCCATTTCCGGGGGCCCCAGGCTCGCTCTAGGGTTTAGGGTTTAGGGTTTAGGGTTTGCGGGCGAGGGTTTGAGGCCTCCGGATGAGGGTTTAGCAGCTGCAGGCGGCCCACGCTGCGGACCTTCCGCTGGCAAGTGGGGCCGCTGCAGCTCTGCTGCCCCGTGTGAGACAAACTAGCGCTGCTGCTGCTTCAGGGTTTAGGGTTTAGGGTTTAGCGTTTAGGGTTTCTTAGCAGAAGACCCTCTTTAGGCGCTTGCAGGCAGCACGCCAGCCCCACAGCCCCGTCCAAGGGATAGCCTGGCTGGGGGGCCCCACGGGGCCCCCCGCTGGGCCCCCCAGGGTACTTCTTAACTAGCAGCAGAACTAAGAGGCAAATCTTTTTTTCTTTTAAAATCAAGTTCTTGAGTTCTTTTTGTTGCAGCAGCAAGAGCTGCAGCAGCTGCTGCTCCACACGCAGCAGCGGCAGCAGGTGGTGAAGGCGGAACGGCAAGCGGTGGGGGGCAGCAGCTGCTGCTGCTAAGATAACGGCAGATGCAGCAGCTGCTGCTCAGGCAACAGCAGCAGCAGCAGCAAGTCAAGGTGCGTAACCACTGACATCGGGCCAAAGGGGGGTTCTGCTGCTTTCGGTGCAGCAGCAGCAGCAGCTGCCAGCGCTTGCTGCTGCTTCTCCGGGGAAGCAGCAGCAAGCCGTGGGAGCAGCAGCAGCCGCCGC